AGGGTTTACCTCACTTCGGTTGCCTTCGGTAAACAATCATTAAGCATAGGAGATTTTAGTGGTTGTCCTCCAGTCTAAAAAGATCAAATTATCCCATTCGAATGTTGCCTCAAAAATGTTTCCTCGGAAAGATCTTAAGACTCTAGGGTTACTACTAAATTTTTCTAACTATTACTTTAGTGATTGTACTTGTCCCTTTCGAATGTCCCTTACAACTCCAACGACGTTGCTACCTGCTCCTTAATAGTAGGATAGCGATGTCTAAAGGAAACAAAAATGAACAATCTTTTTTCGAGTAGGTAGAATCTTAAGTACTTGCTCAATAAAAACTTTTCACACAAACACCTTTCAAAACAAATTTTCAAAACAAACTTCGTCACACCCTTGAGGACTGATACAAGGGTTATCACGAAGTAAAACATTTTCAAGACAAACACATACAAGCAATTTTAAAAAAGATGAGCAAGTACCTAAGAGCCCATGGAAAACCATGGATGGAAAGGGTGCTAACACCTTCCATTTCTATAATCTATCCCCCGTACTCAGAAAATCTCGAAAAAAAGTTTTTTCTGTTCTTTTTCCTTTTCCATGATTGGATGAAATAAAAGTCGATGGCAACTCTTGCTTACCGCGACATTTTGCAAACAAAAAATGCAAAATGCAAACCAGTAAAAATAGTCGATTCTGCCACCGTATCACACAACCTATTCAAAAGGTCATGATACAGAGTGTGGTTATGAAAGGACGATATCCAATTGTGTCCTTGAAGAAGTCAAAGTTCTTAGAAGTATTCTCAAAGAGTGAGAATATCTGACTCTGGTTTGGCTCTACTGAGGGAGTCAAGGTTCAGCATATGCGGGAAGTGCTAAAGTCTTTCAACTAGTGTTCAAGTTTTCATCTTCAATTGGAGCATTGGTTATCTATGACAGGGGGAGTCGTGTATTTATCTGTGGATTGTTGTTGCAATAGTATAAATAGTTGTTTGTATATTGTTCAAAGCTTGTGGAGATCTCATGCATCTTATACTGATATGATGTCAGATAACATGTTACGACATTATGAAATTATTGGTGATCTTAACAAGGAATGGTTGGTCTTAACCATGTGAAGCTGGGTGCTAAATCAGAAGTTCACATTTCTCTCAAATGGTTAATGGTTAAGTCTTGGAGAATTTATTTTTCTATACAAAGTTTTTAATGAGAGATATCACAAATGTGATATTTTGATATCTTGGTGTATATCACTAAGTCTAAGTGAAAGGAGAATACTTAGAATCTATTAGAAGACAGTATGGATGAAAATGTATTAGTCAATGTGCAAGCAAAAGAAGACAATGTCTGACTCGATGTCATAACATTATTCAGGACATGTGTCTTGTACGATCAACAATAGAGTTTTTGTGGGTTGTTTGATAAAACACGGGGTCAGTAAGCGTGTTTGAATGAGGATATGAATTTATTGGGACTTGTTTTATTCAGCAGAATTAGTCTAGAGCATTTAAAGGCGTTCAAAGTTGTTTTAGACGATGCACGTTGATATAAGTGGTAGTCTTGTCCATCAATTAACGTCTCTTTGACCAAGATTGCTTGTCTCATTCAAAGTTCGTTAATTCCCAATAAAACTACTCAACTATTTATAGAGGTCTCTCTTATCCTCTATCTCCATGTGAGTGTTTGATTTTATTCATCATCACTATGGGTTTTGTTCGGGTCTGGGTAAATTGTGCATGAGTCTAGTTCTATAAAGGCCTCCTTTATTAATTTTTGGCAAAAACGGGGGAGAAAGGGTGTACTCAGATGGTCAGTTTGGAATCTGAAGTTTCAGATGTTGCTTTCAAATATCGGATAAGATGTTTCATCTTGTGGTCGTGCCCTATTATGGTTTTGTGACTTGTGATCTGATTTATGAACACAATTGTGACATGTGTTTTGAATTATAAGGGGTGGTGATTGATTTGTCTAGGTCCACTGGAGGCTGCTGATCAAGGAATGGTTGAAAATACTCTTATGCCACCATTATTCTCCTATGACAAGAGATGATGCCTGGCTTGAGGAGGAGTGTCAGCTATCTTCTTCCTCATGTGCACCAAACCAAATGGCTTCAGGACTTTCTACTATTTTCCTTGAAGGTTCTACTCTTTAGTAATGGATTTGGTACTGCAATGGAGCTCATGCAAATTTTTGGAAAGAAGATGTCAAACAAAGATATCCCAACATCTTTACTGAAGACTGAGTCCATGGTGTTATACTGTAGTGTTCAACAGTTGCTGAAGACTACTGTTGATTTTTTAAACTTGCTAACAGGAACAGGTTGAGCAAGAAGTCTTATCTTATGTTAGAATATGTTGAGTTGAAGAGTTTCAACATCTAGAACAACATGTCGAATATGATGTCTTATGAAGGAGCATACGACATCGCGCTTGAGCTGAAGTGGACAGTTAAATTCTGTTATGATTTAACTGGTGCAGAATATTTTGGGAAATATTATGCAATATTATATGGCACTGATTTAAAGGTTGAGAAGAATCTAATCAGAATATTAAATAATATACAGTTTCTATATTTAGAGATAATTTAGGAAGATTTAATTTAAGATCTTGTTTGTAGCAGAAGTTACTGTTGTTTTCTACAGCTGATATGTTATACTTTGAAGGCCCAAATCCAGTTGGGTATATGTTATAAATAGAAGTGTTTGTAACCTAGAAAAGGCACGGGTTCAAGATGTAGAAGTCTAGAGCTTTGTCTTTTTTCCGCTCTCTAAGAGAGTTGGTGTAAGTGAACCACTCGGATTGTGAGATGGTCACTCAGAAGCTGTGAAGTAATGAGTTGAGTATTGTTCTTGGAGGAAGCATTGAAGTAACTCCAAGGTGTGGTCTTAGTCAAGAGTCTTGGCTAGTGATTATCATAGAAGTGTGTCTTCCTGTTTATTCAGAATTATTGTTGATCTAATCGTTGTCTGTGATTGAAGAGGGATTGAGGAGGACCTCATATTTAGGTGAGTCTTAGATAGAAATATAGGAAGGATAGTGATTAAGTGATTAGGCTGTAAAATGGAGATTTGTTGTAGGTTCTATAAATTGATACTATCATAGTGGATTTGTCTCTGTCTTAGTATGCCCCAGAGTATAAGAGTTGCTTCGAACTGGGTTAACAATTTTAATGTGTTGTTTATGCTTTTCAGTATTATTTTTACTGTTAATACCTTGCCTGTTTGTTTATGTCGGATCAGATGTCTCAACATCCTATAGGACATCTGAGTTCTATCATATCATAATTTCATTATCCTTGAAAAAACATCAACAAAAAAAAAGACATTAGTGCATAAGAAAAGAAAGAATTTGGAGATACATCTTCAAACAATAGAAAGGATCCATTTCAGAGATGCATCCTCGAAAAAGCTTTGTTTTTTATTTCAATGGTAGAAACATCATCTTCACTTGCCCTGACCATCTAAAAATCATCCAAATCATCCAAATGCTACTACATATTACCTAACTTGTATGTTAATACTATCTAATGTATTAAAAGTTACCTATTTTATCTAATACATAAATCAAAACTCAAAAATAAGGTAAAAGAGAAATTTACTCAAAAAAGTGTTGATGAGGATGCAAAATGTCGAATATAATAGATAGAGTGAGATGAGATTGGTAAAATGAAAGTAGAGATTTTTATGTTAATACTGGAACAATGTTGCTCACAAGCTCCAATAGAAAAGAAAAATTTTCTAAAAATGAAAAGAGGGTGAAAATGAAGAAGGAGAAGAGAGAGAGTCTGATGTGAGATTTAAATATATTTCCCTAGTTCGAAAATGTATCTCTGAATGAATTTTTTAAATTTAAAAAACGGTTAATTTAGAGATGTATCTACGAACATATCCTAAAACACCATCGCAGATACATCTCCAAATTTAATTGAAGTAAAAAAAAATAATGCGTTCGGAAATATATCTTCAAAAATATGAAACATTTTTGACATTTCATCAGGAGACTAGAAAAAAGTAATGGGATGCAAAAAGAAATTCCCAACACATTTTATATAGTTGAGGGACCATTATAGCCTTTTTAAAACTTAATAAACCAAATTGAACTCTAAGTCAACACATTTTATATTTAATCTTAAAATTACTATTTTAAATTAGAGAATTTTTTTTACTCAATTAAATTAGAGAATATAAGAGATGCATTATCGGTAAAAACCGATTAATTAAATTCTTTAAATTTTGATTGAAATGCAATGGGAATAACATGTGTTGAAGGAAAAGGTTGAGCCCAATCTTGAGATGACAAAATTTGATAACATGAAACAGAAACCTGTCACTAAAACCTATCTTTATACTATTAAGTTTCCAGAAATACCAAGTGAAAAACTAATTTAAAACTATTTATGTCCACATTATTGTTTTGAGAATTAATATTTTTTATAAGCAAAAAATAGCATAAAAGGTACTCAAGTCAAGGATGAACCAATTGGAGATATTTATGTCAAGAGTACCCAACAATATATAATTGCTCAGATTTTCACATAACTCATGGGAAAAAAAAGCTAACCATGTTGCCATGATTAATAGTAAAACAAATAAACTAACTAGTATTGTATTTTAGTTGATTTTGGTTTTAGATATTCCTTTTCCTTGATTAATCGCCAGACATGTGTGTACAGACAAAGGTGAGTCCCTACTCCCTATCCTAGGCAGATAAAATACTGTCCCTTTCTTACAATTGCATTTCCATTGGGACATTAAGAGTATCACTATCATCATCACCATTTCACTAGCCAGCTTGGCAATGAGTGGAGAAATGGTTTTTTTTTTTATGCTTTTGAGATGACAGAGAAGCCATTCATTAAATTATGATACCATACAAATCATGAAACAACAAAAACAAACATACAATTCCTCATCATCATCTGTTCCTCAAACATTGAAAAAACAGTTCCCCCCACCTCTAAAAGAAAACCATTTTTGTTGCAATCAATATATATTGTTTTTGTCTAATATTTCTAGAAGAAATCAAACTCCAGATAATTATCAGAACCTTTCTGATTACCACCTGTTGTTGTTGACATGTGGTTAACGGCGGCTTTTTCACCGCCAGACGAGGCAGCCGGGGAAGGTATCTTCTCAAACTCAACAGCCTTTGGAATCTCGGGCGGGGTAGCACATCGAATCAACGCCCAATTCACACCTTCGAAAAAGGGATGCTGCTTAATCTCAGTTGCGCCTCGTTTATACGCCAATCTGTGTTGAGGTTCCTTGACAAGCAAACCCCTTATAAGATCCCTTGCTGCAAAGCTAACGACAGGCGCTTCAGGAAATCGCAGCGGCTGACCTACCACGTTAAACAGCGTGGCTCGGTTTCCAGATCCCTTAAACGGAGTTTTGCCAAACAATAACTCGTATAGAAAGATTCCATAAGTCCACCAGTCAACTGCACTCCCGTGACCTTCACCCTTTATTATCTCGGGTGCAAGGTATTCGTGGGTTCCGACAAAGGACATAGACCGGGCATCAGTGGGCTCTGCAATGAGCTCAGGTAGAGGACTTACTTGATTGCCAAGTTCAGTTTTGGGCTTTCGGTCTTTCTTTGATTTGCTAGAAAAGAGCCGGGGTGAAAAACATGAGGTAGGAGCAACACAGGATGGTTGAATGCAGGATGGCGGCTCGATACACGCAGGCTGAGCACAGTAACCAGTATTTCTTCTTAAAGGCTCCGAGTCAATGGACGAGGATTTAACGAGGGTTGGACTAACAGCACATCGGAGGGAAAGGTCAAAGTCAGAGAGCATAATATGCCCATCATCCCTGACAAGGACATTTTCTGGCTTAAGATCACGGTATACAATCCCGAGCATGTGGAGGTACTCCATCGCCAGTAGGACTTCTGCCACATAAAATCTGCAAGTTATGAAGAAATTAGCGGTTTGTCACCATCAAATTAAACTAACATCATACCAAAAGACACAAAATACTAAAAACGGAAAACAAGAAATCTTCATTAGGCTTAAGGAGTATCGGAAACAGAATTTATCAGAAATCAAAGAGGTTAAGGAATATGAGAATAACCAAATCAAAAATCATCATGTATTAAACAAAATATCACAGTTAAGGAGATAAATCATATTCCCAAGAGTTGTTTCAATATATTAGTGACAATTAAAATTACAACTTAATTTCTTTTCTTTATACAAACTTTTAAAGAGTTTCTTTTACTCTGATGAAGAATATGTACTTGTTTTGATATTCAGACAAACCGAATCAGTCGGCATCAAACACAAGAAATAATATGAATCTGAACTTGTCTGGCTGGAATACATTATTTGACTTCATACAGGACTCAAAAAAAGGCAAATTATAAACAAAACAAAAGCAAATCATGCAAGCATGTAACCCCAAAGGTTTAGACTTCAGACTTTCAATTCAATAAAGTGCATAAATAAGAGAGCAAGACAATGAGGGTACAGAAAAAGGAAGATTCCTTTGCAATTGCCAACATACAAATTCAAAGAGTTTAGCAAGAGACAATTTTGGAACCAAGCACTGCGACCGAAAAGCATTGCATCCACAAATACATGACAGCCTTTTTTTTCTCTAAATTCAATACTGCAATGTAGTATAAGCGGCATCATTTCGAATGAGATGTAAACATTTTTTAATTATTTGAAAGCCAGATTGCAGGTTCAAAGCAAACAAAATTGTAGAACCAATTATTTCTCTGTGGCAAAGATTTATTTAGAGCTAACGGAAATAAATCAAAAGGACGATAAAATTATAAATTGAACATACTTTACAGCCTGCTCAGGAAAGTGCTTCCCTGGTTGTTTCTGTCTAAGTGTATGGAGGTCACCACCCGGGCAGAATTCCATCACCAAGCACGAAAATTTCTCCGTCTCAAAATGAGTGTACAAAGTTGGGAGAAACGGGTGGTCAAGTGACTGAAGAATTTCCCGTTCCGTCTGAGCACGAAGTAACTTCTTACGACTGGCTAACGACCCTTTGTCCATCACCTTCATTGCAAAGTAACATTTAGTTCCACTCAACTCAGAGAGGTAAACACTGCCAATATCTCCACAACCCAACCTCTTGAGAAGCCTAAAGTGGCCTAAACCCAATGCTCCATCTCTAGTTCTAACCACTTGGATAGCTTCCCATCTCATGTCATTTGCCTTGTGAGGCTTGTTTACACTGCTACTAAAGCTACTACAAGTACTCTCGTCACTCACATCACTGCTTGTACTTCCTCTGCATATACTGCTCTTACCACTGTCAACGAAATCAGCTCGATCACTAATCTTAGCACTACCACTTGTCTTTGCAATACTACTGGCACCATCGCTAGCTTTAGCGGAAACAGAACTGCTCTTCACACTTCCATACTCTGAGGTCTTTCTCTCTTGATCAATAGAGCTTTCCTGTGAGCCTATGTTACCACTAACAGCACGAACCGCTTCTCCGGATGCTTTGCCAGGAGCAGATGAGGAAGAACCAGAACCAAATTTATTACTCACTGAATCAGCAGACGAACCCTTTTGAAATGAAACACCAAACTTCTTGCTTTCATAAATCTCCCCAATATTCTGCTTAGACAAATCTTCAGTAGCAGTTAGCTCAGGTTTGCCGGTCTTCTGAAGCGACAGTGAAGAGAACTTGAGGTCTTTCACTTCAGCTGTTTTCTGATGTTGTTTCGAGAGAGCTTTAGCAATAGATTTCGAGTCCATCAGAAATGCTAGAGAGTTAAAATTGAAATCAGATTGACCAAATCAACAGCTTAGCATCCATTTGAATCTTCAAAAATTACAAACAAACAACCTATCAGAGACATCAATATCAACAAATAATCATCTACAAAAATCCATTGAAGAAATACTAAGCTCATGTTTGGATTAGCACAAAGATTGACATAATCACGACGAGCCACCGAAAACCAAACTTGGAAACTCAAACAAACATAACCATTACAGAAACAAATCAATTAACCAACAAACAATTAGTTCACTTTCAAGTTTCAACAAGAGACAAATAGATCAAGCAAATAAGTGAAACAGTGACTCCCACTAAAACACAAATCATGTGCATCATAGCATAACAAAAACTTGAACAACATAATCAACCAACAAAAAGTGGACATAACCTAGGACCCATTTAGCAAATGAAGTAGGAAACATGAGGAGTAAAAGTGCATGCAGAACATGATCATGAGATTAATAAAGCTCAACAGTGATGAGTAACCAACAAGATAACAACAATAATAATCTCAATAATTAAACCAAAAACCAAAACAAAAAACAATAATAATACTAAATAATATAAATTAATTAATAAAATTCAAATAACAAAATAATGAAGAGTTGGAGTGTTGAAGAGTAAGAAAAGAGTGAAATTGAGTTGAAATGCAGGTATTGAAGAGAAAGAAAAACACGGGTAATGGAAAATAGTTAACCATAAGGAGGTAGATGAAAGTGATAGTGAGAAAAAACGGATCTTGAGAGAGGAAAGACAGTTTAGGGTAGAATCTGAAGCAGATCCAAAGCGAGGGAGATGCAGAAAAAAGAGATAAACTTGTGAATTAAGAAGAACACAAAAGAGTAGTACCTGAAATTTGAAGAATCGGAAACGAAACTCAGCTTCGTTGGTTTAACACCAGAGAGAGAGAGAGAGAGAGAGATTGTTGTTGGTAGCTAAGGCCTTAGAGAGAGAGAGGGTCTGGTTAACCTGTGGTGTGGACTATTAGGAAGAGAGAGAAGGGTCAAAGGTAAAGCAAAGTTTAATTAGTTGAATGAATAATTTCAATGCTATTTTGTCTCTAAAACCAACACAAGTCCGAATCAATTAACTGTTCCGAGTATTGTATATGTCTGTCTCTCATGCATTTGTTCAATTACTTCTTTTATCTTCTTTTTCTTTTTTTTTTTTCTTTGGACCTCTTTTTTTTTTCTATGAAATTATTTTTTTTATTAATTACTCTTTCTTAACTCAATACTATTATAAAAATTTTGACTTTTTCTTATCTTGTCTATATATGAGTTATATATGAATTAAAAAACAATCAAAAGTTAATTATATAGTTGTGATTTTGTTCATATTTTTATAGTGTTTATTTTGAGTAATTATGGATAAATTGTTCCTATCATTATGTATTTTACTTTTATTTTTTAATTCAAATACTTTGTAATTTCATGTTTATTACACATATTTTTATTAGAAGTTCTCAGATGTATTGTAGAAGTTTTTCGGGTCGTTTCGTTGAAAATAGTTTATTTGAAAAACGCTTTTACAAATCTGAAAAAATAAATTTTCGAAGAGGAAATCGATTATCCAGTTTGGAGAAATCGATTTACACATATAATTTCAGTTTTCCTGTTTAATTTTTAGTTGGGGAAATCGATTTCTTCCTTGTGTTTTGTGTTTTTTAGCTGTTTTTGAGCCTGTTGTTTCTGGTTCCAATGTGTTTTGTAGTATTCCATAAATACTCCCTCATGTAATGTTTGATTTTTAATACCATTTTTACTATTCTTCTCAAATAATCTCTCTCTCTCTCTCTCTCTCTCTCTCTCTCTCTCTCTCTCTCTCTCTCTCTCTCTCTCTCTAAATCTTCAAAATTCACTTTCACTTCATCCTCTCCAATTAACCACATTTCACCATTGATTCACCACACAAGCTTTGTGCTTGTTCCAACATTTAGCATTAAGATTCTTGGTTCTAATCCATAAATTTGCTGCAAAGATGACTATCGTTTCCAATGATCGAGTTTCTACCAACCTTTCAACCCTTGATTCAAAGAACTATGCCAAATGATGCAAACAAATGAAAGTTTTGTTTGGGTATCAAGAGGTTCTTGAAGTGGTTAACCATGGTGTTACACCACTTGTGGCAGCAGCTACAAAGACTCAGAAGGTTGCATTCAAGGAAGAGAAGAAGAAAGATTACAAGGCACTCTTCTTGATACATTCTTGTGCCGGCAATGACAACTTCGAAAAAGTTAGTGATTGCGACTCGGCGAAGCAAGCATGAGAGATCTTGAAGAAAGCTTATGAAAGGGTTGATAGAGCAAAGGTGGTGAGGTTATAAACTCACATGCGGCACTTCAAATTGGTACAAATGGAAGAGAATGAGTTGATCAATGATTATGTAACGCGTTTGGTGAATCAAATGAAATCTTGCGATGAAACTGTTTCAGAGCAGAATGTTGTATCAAAGATCTTACATTCTTTAATGTCAAGATTCGACAACATTATGGTTGCAATGGAATAATCAAAGGACCTTTCTATGTTAAGCAAGAAGGAGCTTTAAAGCTCACTTGAGACTCATGAACAAAGGATGAATGAAAGGAGAAATGACAAAGTTAAAGCTAAGATTGCATTGCAAGCATGGTTCAACGAGAAGAGCAAAAGATTGAAAGAAAAATGCCCTTCGAAGGGGAAGACAAATTTCCAGAATTTTGGTGGAAAAGATCCACAAAATTCAAAGGCTTCGATAGGGCAAAGAGGTGAGAGTATCTCCAAAGGTAGTGGTCAAAGAAACTATACCAAGAAGTTTGACAAGAGTAATGTGAAGTGTTACAATTGTCATAAACTTGGTCATTTTGCAAAGAAATGTAACGCGAAATCAAGGGAAAATCAAAACGATGAAGCTAAGGTTGCTCGACAGGAGGTGGATAATGATAAAATATTTCTGGTCATGATCACAGAGGATAATTATGGAAAGAAAAAGTCACTGAACAGTAGCAGTAGCAGCTGTCAGTGGCTAGCCAGCAGTGTCAGCAGCTCAAAAAATGATATAGAAACGCGTTCGGAGCAAAACATAATGGTAATTATTCGAGATGGAGTCTAAAGAAATGATGAGTGGTACTTGGATTCTGGTTGTTCGACACATATGATGGGTAGAAAGGATTGGTTTATCAAAATCAATCAAACCACGAAGAAAAAGGTGAAATTCGCGTATGACACCACTTTAACGGCCGATGGAGTCAGTGATGTTTTGATCATGAAAAAGGATGGGGCGACATTCCTTAATCAAAAATGTGCTATACATTCCTAGAATTAAATGTTATCTCTTAATTATTGGCCAATTACTTGAGAAGAATTATATGATTCGCATGGAAAACAAGATTTTGCATGTTTTAGACCGAAATGGAGTTTTAGTCCTTAAAGCATCCATGAATGTCAATCTGACTTTCAAGATAGATCTGAAAGTGATGGATCACAAGTGTCTTGCTACAATGGCAAGTCGTGATGGGTGGTTGTGGTATTACCGTCTTTGACATCCTAATTTTCGAGATCTTGACGTGTTACAAAAGAATTGTATGGTAACCGGGTTGCCAAAGATCAATGTTCCAGCTGAGATATGTGAAGAGTGTGTTCAAGGGAGGCAACATAAGAGTAGTCTCAGAAAGGATGCAGGTCATAGGACCAAACATCATCTTGAGGTCGTATACTCCGACGTGTGTAGTCCAATGCAAGTCGACTCGTATGGTGGCAATATGTATTTTGTCACATTTATCGATGATTTAGTAGGAAACTATGGACATATTTAATCAAGAGGAAGGATGAGGTATTTGATGTGTTTAAGAAGTTCAAGTCCATGGTTGAGCGACAAAGTGTTCACAAAATCAAAATTTTCAAAACGGATGGTGGAGGTGAGTATACCTCGAATGAGTTTGGGAATTATTGTGATGAATAGGGTATAGTGCGTGAGATTGTTCCACCCTATACACATCAGCAAAATGGTGTTTTTGAGAGGAAAAAATGTTCGATAATGAACATGGTTCGTAGCATGTTGAAGGGAAAAAGCTTGCCGAAGAAACTATGGGGAGAAGTCGTTTCTACAGCCACCTATTGTTGAATAGGTGCCCTATAAAGAAGTTGGACAAGGTGACTCCAAAAGAGGTATAGTGTGGATTTAAACCAAGTTTAAGTCATTTTAAAGTTTTCGGTTCGGTGGCATTTCGACATATTCCGGGTCAGCTTCGAAAGAAGTTGGATGACAAGGGTGAAATAATCTTGCTTGTTGGTTATCATCCTACCGGAGGTTACAAGTTGTTTGATGTGAAAAGTAAGAAGATTGTAATAAGTTAAGATGTGGTAGTGGATAAGGTAAGGTTGTTTAACAGCAGAAAAAAGGCCATGACAGGTGTGGAAATCGATTTCCCAGATGATGGTAATCGATTTCTGTCGCGAATTTTGCATGTTGAAGCTCCTGGAACTGGTTTTGCAGAAGAGGAAATTGATTCCCCACTATTCGAAAATCGATTTCCACAGGAAACTATAGAAAATCTGGATTCTACAGGTTCTGGACAGTAGTTGGTCAAAGTCAAAAATGGTGAATCTAGTAGAGGACCAACTAGGTTAAAAGGTTTACCTCAGAGGCTCCAATATTGTAAGGTACTTCATAATAATGAGATCAATGATGATGTTGATCTCATTCACTTTACGCTTATGGTTGAATTCGAGTCTGTTTGCACGGATGAGGCATTAAGCGATCCAAAGTGGGTTTGTGCGATGACAGAGGAGTTGGAATCGATTGGAAAAAAAATACTTGGGAGTGGGTTGATCTACCGAAATGAAAGAAGCCAATGGCAGTGAGTGTGGTTTATAAAGTGAAGGCAAATCTAAAAGGCGAAATTGTCAAGCATAAGGCTTGACTAGTCGCGAAATGTTTTTTGCAAAGAGAAGGTATAAACTATGATGAGGTTTTTGCATCTGTAGCTAGAATAGAAACC